CCCATCTCATCTCATCTCCACTTCCGCCTTTTTGCTTCTCTCATCACAGTCATTTTGCCAAAAAAACGCACGTCTTGTCATCCAAACAGTTGTATTGCCGTGCATCACTATCATCGCTAAGGCTGTGTCCCGCAGGCGTCTTGGACGCATTGCGGACCAACTAGCTCGAGCATGTAACACCTTACAAGTCGTCGGTGTATCTTGTAGTCTTTGCCCCGTCTACAAGATAACCTTGTTCAGTGCCAACCCGGAGAGTTTGCAGCGCCTTCCTTTGCTTCCTCCATTGCCAGAGGATTCGAGCAAAGAAGACCATACAAAGCCCAAGGACAACCATGCCACCAACCATGTACAAGCTCGATGGCTTCGCCTCGTCCGCTTCATATGGTAACCCCTGAGGAGCGTCAGACGTGAAAGCGCGCCTTCCCCTGTCTTGTGGTGGCGTCTTGTTGATGACGGGAAAGGCTTGCGAAAGACCGCCTTCCATCGTTCCAGGGAACCCAAACGCGCAGACCATCGTGTCCGTTTCCGCAGTGAAATCAAATTTGACTGGCACTTTGACCATACCCGATCCCATTACGTCGAAACTTGTAGACCATATTCCCCCATGGTTCGGCCTCTCGTCTGACACGATGGTCAAATTCATGTAAATGGAAACATCAGAGAGAATGCTTGGTGATACAAGTCATGCAGCGAGATGAACTTACAACAAGACTCCCAGTCAAACTGTTCCTGACTACTCTGATCCCCAATCTTCTGCTGGCAGGGTTTGCAGTAGAGATTTCGATGCAACGCAAAAGGAACATCAAAATCCCCAGGCCATGTCAGCTCGACGACGTCGTTTACGAACAGGGGAGTAGCACCAAAGCCTGAAGTAGGCGGATGATGAGCTGATGTTTCAAGGTATTGCTCGACCATAAAGCTAGAGCTCTGAGGGTGCTTGTCAGGCATCAGAGATTTGTCACCCGGCGCTGGGAATGTCCATAGAGCCTGGGTTGGGCAATCGCAGTCTTCGCCCTTGGAGGCCATTGTGTAGATATGTTGTGGGTTGTGAAAGGTGTTGACGACCAAGAAATTGGAGAACTGTTCCTTGGAGACATGTTATATGAATGGAGATTATGCGCGCATAGCGATAAACTTAGACTACTCCGGGTAACAAAGCGCTGTCGAAATCTAGCCCTCAGCCCCGTGCAGCTGTCGTATGTGCCGCTGACGACTGCTGTGAGTGGGCTACGTCAGAATCAGGCGTTCTCTATCTAACGCAAAATAGCGGAGTGGAGTTCGCGTACAGCTGCTACGCGCAAGGCTGCTTGCATCAAACACGCAGCTGTGGAGGCGAAGCAGCGAAAACCAAATCACAAACGTAGAAACGCCGGTGCCTTGAGTTATGCGCCAGATACTTGATTCTTAGTGTGACAGTTGTTGTTGCATTAGCTACATGTTATGATGGGTTCGATGCTACCCTCCCACCAGTACTGATCTCTATGAACGCATGGAACGGATGAGCAGAAAGCCGATACGTTATGTGTTGGCGCAGGCAACCGTGCTTCGAAGACTTGGAGCGAAGTAACAACTTGTGTTTAGCACAAAACGAATAGTTGATTGAACAAAAACGCGTCACACAAGTGACCAGTTGCAGTGGTGAGAAACCAAGGCCGGTCGCCGTCAACTATGCACGCATGTTGAGAGGCACGACTTCACGATTTCACCACGTGAGGGAGTACCTTACCTGTCGTTGTTGAACCTGATGTTCCACGAAAACTTTAAAAATCTTGGCATCAATTCTGTGCAGCGATGACGGTGATAGTACATGAAGAATGACCTAACGTTATGAAGAAGAAACTTCTGACGATTGTACATTGAAGCGTCAGTTTGTTCATGTACTAGAATTCTGGCAAAGCGGCAAGGTAGAAAGAGAATACGACTCAAAAGTGTAGAGACAGGAAATGCGTTAATAGGGTCCACGTGCAGCGATTTCGGTAATGATCAAGACGAAAGTTCTAAAGGAAAAGCCTGTTAGAGTCCAGCTCTCAGGACGGTTTGTAGCTTAGTCGTCACTCTCTGAACTTTTGCAAAATACTCTAATGTTTAGACTTCGGTACTCATTCTGCTGAAGTTCCTCTCCATTCGACTATCTTATCACAACCAGTGAACAGGGATTAACAGATTTGAAGCCTTGAACAGTCTTACGAGCTTCTTTTCGCAACGGTTTTGCACGTATCGACCGATACTTAGTATACAGGACAACACCCATGCCCGCATGGTCAACGTGAATAGCCATATTAAATGTATTGCCTCTGCCCTGTTGGCAACGCACGGCAAGGTGTTGGCAATCTATCGGAGTATTGAAATTATCCGAACGCAGTACAGAACCACAATATACATGCTGGCTGATCTGCCAAGCAATGTTAGTCATCAGGAACAGTACCTCACGATTGGTCTGGCAATACTGGTGCTCGAATCTGTCATCCCAGATATGGATTTGTGAGTTGGTCAGCTAAGGAGTGGGCCCATAGTCAATGTTGGCACGATGACTTGCGACTTAGCGGTATTGTTCTTTTCAAGAACCTTGAAGGCAGCTAAGACACGGTATAAAATGCAGCAATGCAGCCTTCGTGACGATCCATCGCTCCGCTGGGAAGGCACCGTTTTCATAACTCCCGTCGTTACAGTCAACTCGATTGCACCACACTCGCTCTGAACATATTGCACAACATGCGCTTCATGATTCCACAGTTCTTAGCATTGGCGGCCTCAGCTGGGGCTGCTGGTATCGCTGTTGTACTAAACAATTCAAAAGAACCTGTTTACATATGGTCTGTTGGCGGCTCAGTCAGTCCCCGTCATGATATTAAGGCTGGTTGGTACCAACGCAGGTTTTGACTTAAGCCCTAGCTGACGACTCCAGGTGGTATCTACTGGGAACAAATGCGTCGCGATGAGAAGTCTGGAGGTATTGCAATCAAAATTACAAAAACCGGGGATGGTCTGTACACAGGCGCCCCTCAGCAGGTATGGGCATATAACCTGGATGGTGCTTTGGTCTGGTACGACCTCAGTACTGTCTTTGGGGATCCGTTTGCTGGTAGCCGTTTAGAAGTTGCTGGAGATAATGGGGGTCTTATCGTGTGGGCAAACGGGACTCATCCGGGAGGTAGCCAGGTCGCGTCGGCCCCGAGCGAGGGGAACATATTTCTCACTATCGATCCTGCTGCTTGAGCATTAAAAGATAGCTTGAAGGTGCAAGGGACTAGAACGCCCGAGAATGGCTCGGTGGATTTGTCTGAGTGTCACTGCCCCACCGGCACGTGTGCCGTTGATGCCTCACAGTAGAGCAACGTGATGAAGCGACATCTGTGAAAGAGTTATCAGACATGTACAAGTCAATCGAGTTTATGCTCACGTCGCACGGCCGTTGGAACCGCCCAGAAAGTATTTCGACAGTCGGACAGCTAGCAGCAGTATGGTGGGCGATCATTACTCTACTCGATTCGACGACCGACAGCGCACGTGGGAATCGGGAGCTCCTACCAAATCCAGTAGCCATCCAGAAATGTCCAAGGTGGTAGTCGCCACAAATGTGGACGAACTGTCAAGCGTGCAAGGCGTGGGGTCGGCCGTGCTCTGAAGGTGAATTGGGTCTTCGGGTCGACCTGTGCGCAGCCTGCCACCATCTCGAGCGGCCTTGCCAACTCAAGTGACGACCCCCTTTGAGCAGTATCGACTACTTCGTACCGAAAGGATAGTGAATGCTGGAACTGTGTCAATATCCTAGAGGATGGCGACCGACAGCTGTTTGCGTGATGCCGCGCTCTGCTGTGCCCTGTTCCGTGCTGCCGTCTCGTTGCGTCCAGGCTGCCCCAGCTCAGGCCTCAGTCGCGTGGTCGCGAGTCATTGCGCCGTTTTCGCTTGCCAGCCACCCAGCTATCATGGGTGTTACCATCCAGCCGAGATGCCGCCGCACAGCCTTCATAGCTAATGCTATGCCGCAATCTGCCTTCATCTAGCAACTGCATTTTCTCATCTTACCCGTTGAGTTGGTGGTTTGCGTAGCCTCGGTTGTGAGGACTCAACCGGCTGTGTCCTATCTCCAGTCGCCGTCTGTCACCTGCATGATACCACTGCATGATAGCAAATGCAAGCGGTATCGCGCCATGAGCATCGGGTGATGCAAAATGGAGCCGCATCTAGGTGCTGATCCTTCCTCTGTCAGCACGATCAGCTTTCGCAAGAGTGCGATATGCGATAGGCCTGAAGTGGAGCATGCCCAACCCTTTATTCTTGCGACGTCTCTTAACCCCTCGTGAAGTGCTTGGACAAGACCAGATGAGAAACCCATCACAGAGTGTCACGTATTAGCCGCCCTTGGGTATGGTTGGCGTGCAGAAAGCCCGGCACCGCTCATTGCTAGACGCGATGCCGCCCCGCTCCAGGAACGGCCCTCCGCAAAAGTCACTGGCATGCTAGTTTAGCATCCGTCTCCCTGCGTCTGTAATTCGCTTGTTGCACCATGTCTTATCAACCTCCCGCCTGGAAACACCCTGGTCACATTGCACATGGCGGCCGCTTTCGGGGCCACGCAGACCTTTCGAGGCAAAAGGCCCTACCTCGCCCTATGCCAACGGCGCTGGAGCATGCGCCTTCTATTGCCATGCTCCTGGTGATTGGCTTCTGGGCGGCGACCCGAAGCCATGTATTCGTCGCCATGCCGCTTGCCACAACTAGAAGCGTTCCGAGAGGCGGATCAAATTCTGTACCACAATCAAAAGCCGATGTTTCTGGCCCCGCTGACGCCTAACAACAGTATCGTCTTACTTGCTGAAGGCTGAAGGCTGAAGGCTGAAAACCATTCTTCCGCGTCAGTCCGCGTCATCCAATCTTATTCCCACTGGACATCACTGGAGATGATCATCAGCTCACTACTGGTCGCGCGACTCATGTCTTGTACCAACACACACGATTCGGCAACATAAGAGCTTTACCTAATCCCACCACTCGACAAGATGAGCGCGAGGACGTTAACGAACGTCGTGAACGACCAGACGGTTGCGCTTAACGCACTGATTTACGGATACGCGGGGCACAGCCTGGTCACCCCGCAACACGCCCTCCAGCAGATATGGTGGACCGAAGAGCGAATCAACGAGAAAGTCAATCATGAATATGTGACCTCGAGGTTGCAGCCAAAAGAAAGGGAACGTCTCACCCAGCCTGTAGGCTTCGGCGACTTGAGCGACGATACCTACATCGAATGGATACTGGAGAAGGCGCGACGACTATTTCTGATATTGGTAGAAATTGGTGAAGCGGATCGAATTTTCGCTGTCGTCGATAGGTCGTGGGACGACGATGATCTACCTCTCGAAATGGACGACATCGAACAGCTTTCGCTTTCAAACCGACGCGATAATCACGCCAATGCTCGCTTCTATCACACCCAGTTCACGTTCTTGTTGAGAGAACTACGAGAAGGCATACACATAGATTATGCGCCTAATGAGGAGATTCCAGTCGAAAATGTCATGTCGCTACCTGTGGCAGTAAGCTTGCAACCTTGGTCGCGCATGCATCTCCCGAAAAAACCCAAGGACATCTTCGTTCGTAGAAGATTTGCGCTAGGTGATGCAGATACGCCAGACGCTTTTGAACAGGATTTCATGATGGACGTTGAGAGCGCTAGAATGGTCGAGCATGAGCACTTTGCGCCAATCTGGGCCTCGTATACCGCTAAAGGGGTTGGCTACATTGTCACCAACTTCGTAGGCCACCATACACTTCGCACATTCATCGACCACCGTAATCCCACCCAATACCAAAAACTACCGAAGCCCGATCGGAGATGGCTAGTGCTCAGTTGGATGCATTGTCTGGCGGATGCCATTGCGACACTGCATCAGAACGGGTTCTGCCACTCTGCTATTCGACCTTCCAACATCCTTGTTGACGAACAAAACGCTATAGCCTTCAGCGACATCGGTAGTCTAGAAACGTTCCAAAAGGATAAAAAGCCCGATGCCATGGATGCCTACATATACAGCGCGCCGGAGGCAAACAACAGCGTAGGGCCGTTCGACCCAAATGGACCTGCACCGTCACCCGTCGTCCCGAGTACTCGACATGCATCAATAATGAGCAAGAGCTCGTCGGGATCCTCGAGTAGTAGTGGCTCACAACGTCAGAAGCTTACCAAGGCTCCTACAACCGATTTCTCCGGATTTAACTTCGGATTCAAGAAGTCAAAACAGAAGCCAGTGCCAAAGAAACGATCGCGAGTCCACGAATCCGAGACGGCAGATATATTCTCCCTTGGTTGCGTGTTCTTGGAGATCATTACGTTCATGCTCAAGAAAAAACCGCATGATTTCGTAAAGCACCGCACATCGAAACAAAGGACCAACACTGGCGGCAAGAATTCTCGGACGGACTCATCGTATCATGTCAATCTTGACAAGGTCGAGACTTGGATAAATCTGCTAGAAAAGGCCTCGTTCGAGCATGACGATGACGCATTTCGTGCAGTACCTCACATCTTGCAGATCATCCGAAGCATGCTTAGCAGAGCGCCCACAGTACGTCCTGCTGCGCGCGACGTTCGCGACAAGATATTTGATATTCTTTTCAACTATACGTCTATTCCTGATATACACTGTGGCGCCCACAAGCATGATGTTGGCATTGCAACGTCTTCGTACTCCGGTTCGGACAGGGCATCGCTAATGACGATGTCGACAATGAGTTCTATGAGCTCGAGTACCTCGGACACGGATACGATCCGCTCAAGCACGACCCGGGTGAGCTCGATACTGAACTCTTATTCCGACCGAACTACCTTACATGGTATTGAGGAAGACGACAGCTCTTCGATAAAGACGTTAGAGCCCATAATCGCCCCTGGCCATGTTGGCAAATCTTATGAGTTGCCTAGAGAAGCGCCCATACCACCAGGCTCTCCCACTTCGCCGGTATCGCCACGTTCCCCTACAGCTCCATCGTTTGCCCGCCCTTCTAGCCCCCTGAGGCCGACTTCATCAAGGGGAAAGTCGTGGTCTAAGCCGTTTATGCTGTTACCGTGAGGCTTGAAAGAAGTCTGGCCTCAGCAAAAGGCTCAGGAGGGCATCCCTTTCAATATTCGGTTGCATGATCGGTACCCTGAGATAGCTAGGCATCCTACGTACTTTGCGAGATTGCGGGGTTTTACACATCGGCAAGCCTGGGCTGCACGTGGCAGTACTCACCCCAGGACCGCAAGGTGACCCGAACAGCAGGATCAAGAAGGCAATCGTCGAAGAAAACAATGCTGTTGTGCGAAGGAGGGGTATGCACGTGGATCGTGGCTGCTGTAAACACAAGGCTTTGGTGAGCTATGATGCAGGGATTGTCGTACTTCTGCGGACGTGTGCATACCCCATGTTCCACACGCATACTTTCTACCCTTACCACACTATAGCGCAAGAATGCTTAATACATACCAACAACGATAACGCCGAGATACTGTCTTTCCGAGTGATCTTTTGAGCATCTGCTTTGCACACACGAAACCATCACGGGTTGACTCTGATCAGCCAAAGTTGCCGAAGCGGGGCCTCCCGGTATCCCGCTTAATTACATCTACTCTGAACTCAAGGCTGCACTGTTGGTGACCCCAACCCCAACCCCAGGCCATGCTGCTCAACCCTGATCCTGTTGCACTCGTTATGGGATAGTCTATCGCTAGTATATTGAGGTCACTTGCGCAAGTCTCAACACAAACACAACAATGCTAGAAGCTCGGCATACGTCAGTCGGTTTTGCAGATGTCCACATGAAAACCCAAAGATCCTTATATTCACGCGTTTCGACACATTGTAGTGCGTAGCCTGGACGCTGCACTTGACTTCTGGTCGTTGTTGGGTGGTTCGAAATCACAATCCGGCCCCATTTGATCCGAATGGTGCGGGGAATCCATCGGTCTGACAGCCAAGACGCAGATCGCAGCTGATCAGTACTTCCTCTGCATCTGACATCCGGCAGGTAGACATGCATCCCGCTATGCATCTACTGCGTTGCTCAAGGATCATGTCGTGGTTTCGCACTATCAGCCTTGCTGTGTTCGAGCCAACATGCTCATCCAGTAACTCTTGGACATACTGTAACTACTTGCCAGGAGTCAAGAATCTGATCAGCCGGTCCAACCACGCGACTATTTTGGCATGTGCAAACCTGCGCCGAGCTATTCCAATACTGCAGTGATCGTCCAAGGTGTACAGCCACCAGGATCATCCCGCCGCTATCCCCAGAGCCAAGAATATCGATATGCAGCTACGCAGCCATCACAGGTACCTAGGTACCATTGAACTATGCCGCTATTAGTCACCTCCTTGCTGAAAAGCTTAAAAGGCGTCATTATCTTGCCAATCTTGACTATTCTTTATCGCAACTTGGATGCGCACCTGGTATCCGGTCCTGTCAATATGCAACTTAGTTTTGGTATAGTCGCGAGCTTCTTAGCATTGGCCTCTACCGCTCATACCGACAAAAAGATTTATTCACGTCAAAGCAATGGCACGGAATACAAAGTCGGATACACCCCTTTGAAGACAGACTGGACAGATACGGTGGGAACCAATCCATGGCCTGAATATCCACGACCACGCCTCCAACGGCCTGACTGGAAAAACCTCAATGGTGTCTGGGGTTACAGAAATACCACCAATGGATCAGACGCATCGCCTCCGTTTGGACAGATACTCGAGAATCCTGTTCTAGTCCCCTTCTGTCTCGAGAGTGCTCTTTCAGGTCAGTCCGCTTAGGCTTCCTACTAGGCACAGTACTGACCCTGCCAAGGTGTGACAGGTAAGGGTCGCATGTGGAGTTGGTACCAGACCACGTTCGAAGTGCCCACGTCTTGGCCCAGTGACAACAGTGTCATTCTGAACTTTGGCGCTGTTGATTATGAAGCCACCGTCTTTGTCAATGGCCAGAAAGCTGGTTTCCATAGAGGTGGATACTTTGAGTTTAGTGTAGATGTGACGCCGTATTTGAACATGAACGGGACGAATGAGCTGTGAGTTTACCCACTCAGGGGTTGAGAACAAAGCTGATGACAACGCAGACTGGTATATTCCTTTGACCCGACAGATGTGGATGATGTTCAGATACCTATCGGAAAGCAAACCTTGAACCGAGGCGGAATGATCTGGTATACGCCTTGCAGTGGTGAGGAATATCCCCGTACGAACTGCACGTGGGACATATACTGACTTCGGATACGTATCTTTAGGCATCTGGCAAACCGTCTGGCTTGAATCAACACCGAAAGAGCACATCTCCAAACTCGATCTGACAGCAGACATGAACGGGAATGGTAAATGCAAAGCATATTTTCACATATGCCATAGCTAACATGACGAAGTGAATGTATTTGTGCATAGTAGCACCGACTCTACGAGCACTGCATACGAGATCACGGTTCATGAACTGAACTCTAATGACGCTAAGGCGACAGCGACGGGTACAAGCGGATCCTCATTTACCTTTACTGTTAGCTCACCGGAGCTATGGACTCCAAGCAGTCCGGTCTTGTATAACATCACGGTCAAGATGGGTAGTGATACTATCCAGAGCTACACTGGATTCAGGACTGTTTCCCGAGGTGCCATCAACGGTATCCAGCGCCCGCTCCTAAACGGACAATTCATCTTTCCCTTTGGCACTCTGGATCAAGGCTACTGGCCAGACGGAATTTACACACCTCCAAGCGTAGAAGCCATGGTGTACGATCTCAAAGTACTGAAAAACGTCGGCTACAACATGGTACGTAAGCATATCAAGGTAGAACCGGCGCTCTTCTACAGAGCTTGCGACGAGATGGGAATGTTGGTCATTCAAGACATGCCTTCGCTTCGACCAGACTTACCAGACGGTGTATGTGGCAGCAAGCGCTTAGCAGGCGAAGCCGCGCAAGCAGAGTTTGACCGGGAGTTGGGCTTGATGGTCGAGCAGTTGAAGTCGTACCCTAGTATATTTGCTTGGACGATTTACAACGAAGAATGGGGTCAAGCTACTAATGGTCCCCCATGGCCCGAGTTTAATCTGACGGATATGGTCCGGAAGATTGATCCTACTCGTCTAGTCAATGCTGTCAGCGGCTGGACCGATCACAGAGCAGGTGACTTTGACGATAATCACCATTACTCCACGCCCCAATGCGGAACGCCATTCTGGTCTAACCAAGGTAGCGGCTATGACTCTGCCTATGATAGCTCACGCATTGGCCTTCAAGGCGAGTTCGGTGGCATTGGAACCCAACTTGTGGAAAACAACTTTGACCACGCCTGGTACAAGGAACTGAGTAGCCAAACTGCATACGAACTTACCAATGGAACCGGATGGTGGAACTATCGTTGTCACGACTTACTCGTGCAACTGCGCGAGCAAATTGATCTATTCGCATGCTCAGGAGGCGTTTGGACACAGACCACAGACGTAGAGGGGGAGGTCAACGGAATGATGACTTACGACAGGAAGATTATTCGCATGAACGAGACGATGTGGAAGCAAGATATACAGGCGCTTTATGACGCCGCGGAGAGAAGGGCCAATAACGCTACGATGGTCATCAGAGCTACAGATATGGAGGGGTTGCAGTACGGTATGTTTTGAGCGGACGGGAAGATCCATGTAGACTATCGACAACTAGTTTAACCCCCGGCCATTATCGTCTAATCATGAATCACAGCTATAGTTCTGTGCATAAGTGGCTTTTGTTCACTCTCAGCTGCTGAGTCTCTGCCATTCTCTCTCTAGCATACCAAAGATTACCACATCCCACCACTGTCCCTCATACCACACGCTCTCTCTTTCCCTCCCTTCAAGCACAAATCCCAACTTCTCATACAACCGTACAGCACCTTCGTTGTAGGTGAAGGCTCGAACTTTGACTCGGTGCAGACCTGCACGTTTGAAGGCATAGTTAAGCGCCCAATTGATGGCTTCAGAACCATAGCCCTTGCCCTGGTATGGCGGAAGGATATCAAGTCCAATCTCAGTGTTCCGGTGATGTTGTTTGTGCATCGGCAGCGCGTGCATATGAAGCTCACCGACGGCAGTACCAAGTTGTTCGTCAACCACTTCTCCATTCTTCCTTCGTTGCGCAAAGTCTTTCGATCGGTCCTCGTCATTCATAAGGGTAGTTTCCGTTGTGTGGGGCAGCCAGATGATGGCACCAAGGAGGCAGTCGTCGAGTAGCCCTTTCATGAACGATTCCGAATCTGAAGTGCTAGGCAACTTGATATTATTAAAATTACTGTTTGCGAAACCGGAGTGGTCAGCGCTTATGGCGTGGAAGACAGATATGTCGCTTGGACGAATAGCACGGTAGTGCAGCCGCTGACTAGACCATGGGTCAGCCTGAGGTGGGGACCTTGTCGACATGCCTTCGACTATTCTGGTTATGGCACGGAGGACGTCTCGAGAGGTTCAAGTATGCGTAGTTCAGCTTGTGGCAAAGTAGTGATAGTAAAGTCCTTTGAACTGAACAACTTGGCAGACTTTGAGTGGGAGGTATGTTGACAGGTAGATAATGACTTGCAATGATAGGTTCAGTGTGATTACGCCCTTTACTAACATCCTTCGCGTGAAAACGCCCTTGCTAGCCATGAGCCGAATGGAAGAATCCAGGACTAAGCTTGCCTAAGATAGGCTAGCGAGAATACCGTCAAACAGACGATGGGATAATTCGATCCATCTCACCTGTTCGTGGGTCACTGCAAAAGGCGCTTCGACAAGTCACAAGACATTTATGCGATGGCGTCCATGCCGGCAAAATGTGGACGTGAACGCTGTGATAGACAAACATGCTATGTTCACACAGAGTCGAAAGTTGTTCTACAAGGTTTATCCACAAGTACACTGCATTTATCTTCATGCTCTCACAAGGATATCTCGCCTCTCCAGGTGCCCTCAGTCAACCCAAGCGTTTCAATGCAATGCTGCCACCTCGGGCCGCCTCTTTCCTTCCTTCTCAGATATTGTAACAGCTTCTGCCTCCTGTGCACCAGCAGCCGCAGGTTTCGCTTGTTGTGCTTGTCGCCCTTTCCTCTTGACTGTAAGAAATCCGCCAGGGTTTTGATCTTGGCGGTCAAGATGGCAATCTGGACTTCGGAAGAGCCTGTATCGGGTCCGACTCGCTTCGCGGCTGCTGCTTTGTTCGTCTCTGGGCGGACGACGCGTGTTTCATCGGCACCAGACCGACTCAGCGATGGGGCCTTGGGGGGAAATATTTTGTCGGTCTTGTGGCGTCCAAATGTCTCGATACAACGTGAGATGTTCACACGCATACGATCTTTGCTCGACCCGTTTTCAAGGGCCGTAATACGGGCGATGGCCTCAGCGGCTCGGGCATGATCCTTCTTGTTTTGCTCTTCAATCTCTTCGGCCGATTTCTCGATTTCCGTTATCCTTCCACCATATATGTCACTGCTCCACTGGGTAGATGCAGGTGTGGTGTGCTTTTCAACGTCGCTCAGCGGCACAGCTAATTCTTGGCTCTTCTGGAGCTGCTGGTAAACGGTTTCGGGATCGAAGGCATAGTTGAGGTGCTTCTGGTCCTTTGGTACGTTTTTGCCTTGTTCGTGTTCAATCGGCTTTCCAGTATCGAACGACTGCACGAAAGGTGTAGAAACGCCACGGACAGGGTCTCCAAGACTGGCAACCCGGCCTTGTTCGAGCTCAGCGCGGCGCGTGAGGTTAGCAGCCTTCTTCCTGTTCCGCTGGGCGACTATGTACGGGTCATTGGCAAGGCGTTTCTTCTGTCGCTCAATCGATTCGGCGTGAACTCGCGATGTGGAGGCGAAAGTTCGAATGGGCAGGGTAAGTTGGTATGACACGGATGAGGCTGGAGGGGCATGTCAGTACGAGGCACTGGAAAATGTTCTATCGTACGTACATGTCGGCGCCCGCAGGCACGACAAAGCTGGTATTCGCGGCGGCATTGCTGGCTACTCACTCGCTGCCACCACCCTCGAATCTTTTGCGGATCCATGACCGGCGACTGGTTTCGCCGATGCCGGCAGCGCTGTGACGCGAAGCCCGTTGGGGACTAGCTGTTCCCACACGATATTCGCATCGTCCAAGTCCCTCCACCAAAAGTTCCCTCGCACGCAACACGACAACTTCTCTATACCAACCAGCTTGTACAGCGCCAAACCGTCAAAATGGCTCCTTCCAACCTTCCCGCCATCTTCAACCCCACCCAGCAGGACATTGAGATGCTCCTGGCTGCTCAGTGCCATCTCGGCAGCAAGAACCTCCAGGTTCACATGGAGCCATACCTGTGGAAGACCAGGCCCGACGGTGTCAACGTCTTGAACATTGGCAAGACCTGGGAGAAGATTGTCCTTGCTGCGCGCATCATCGTCGCCATTGACAACCCGGCCGACAGTACGTTTGCTCGCGCAATTCGAGACCGACAATCTTGAAAGATGCGACCATTTGCGAAAATGGAATTTGGCTGACACCCTGTAGTCTGTGTCATCTCTGCCCGTCCCTACGGTCAGCGTGCCGTCCTCAAGTTCGCATCGCACACCGGTGCCGCCGCCATCGCTGGTCGTTTCACCCCCGGTAACTTCACCAACTACATCACCCGTTCCTTCAGGGAGCCCCGCCTGGTCATTGTCACCGACCCCCGCACCGACGCCCAGGCCATCAAGGAGGCTTCCTACGTCAACATCCCCGTCATTGTAAGCATGAGAACGCGTGGAATCAGCGATTGAAGCAGGCGGACTAACATGTGACAGGCCCTCTGTGACGGAGACTCACCTACCGAGTACGTCGATGTTGCCATCCCCACCAACAACAAGGGTCGCCACGCTATTGGTTTGATCTGGTGGATGCTTGCCCGTGAGGTCCTCCGTCTCCGCGGCACCCTCGCCAACCGCGAGACCGAGTGGGACGTCATGACTGACTTGTACTTCTACCGCGACCCCGAGGCTGAGGAGAACAAGGACAGCACTGGTGTTGAGGAGGCCAAGGTCCCTGGTGCCGACGAGGTTGGCCCTGGTGCCGTCGCTGATGGCTTCACTAGCGAGTGGGAGGTCTCCGGCGCATCTGCTGGTGCTTTCACTGCCCAGGCCGCCGCTGCCCCCGGCACCAGCTGGGACGCTGACACCGCCGATTGGGCTGCGTCTGGCGATGCTCAGACTGGCAACGAGGGCTGGGGTGCTGAGACTGCTGCCCCTGCTACCACCACCCAGTGGTAGATATCATCTTGAGCATCTTCGTCAATTCTTCTCTTACATACCCTGTCTTTGACAACCACTGGCATGTCGGCGTAGGAGTAGGGAAAGGAAAAGGAAAAAAATGAGACCATTTGACAAAAACTCAAGAATACCATGCTTTCAGTGGAGAGGGTCGTCTTGAGGGATACGATCAATGCTACGCGCTTATGAGGGAAAGATATCCATGCTTCTTTGAGGTATGGGGGAAAGCCCTGTGCTGGCGATCGGGTTGTACTTAATTGGCGCCCAGTCCTTCAATGCGAACCTTGCACCATGACTATCACGATCACCTGTCCCCACTGTTGATATGGTTCCACTTGAGCCTGTAAAATGTTGAGCCTGACAAAGTTTAATGCTGTCTCATCCATGCGTGAGCCATGTGCGGTGCTTGATGGACTGGTACTGAACCCGAACACACTGCGATGATTGCAACTAATATTCTTCAAACGTATACAACTGAAAAGCATTTTTCGTCAATCTATAATCCCGTGTCGTACGTACAATGTCATGCCAAAAATCTATAGTTCAAGATATGTACAACGAAACCTGATACCGAGCATTTGGCGTATGCTTCACCAAAAGAATTGTCCACGTTCAAGTCGCATGGACAGATGCCTCCAGATGTCATATGTGACGCACTCAAAGCAAGGCGAAGATGGCAACTACACCCGCGAACAGAGCACCCATGCCCTTGAGCTCTTTGGCTAGGCTGTCCGCAGCAGCACCAGTGGAGGCAGGTCCAGAGGTTTCTGCTCCACCAGATCCAGATGAGCCAGACTCTTGCGCGCCGGAACCTCCAGTCGCTGTTGCGCTGGAGCCCGCAGATGTAGGGGTTCCGTTGAAGTCATGCTTCTGACCCAGCGTAGGAAGTGGCGATGTAGGAACAACCTCCCAGACCGATGCAGTGTAGTCTGGGCATGCGACAGGCGAGTTTGTTGGGTTATATTCCGAAGCCTTCACGCCCGTTGGGTTGAGTGTTGCCCACACAGCAGAGAGGTTGGGGAAGTCAGGTTCAACTGGAGTAGGCTTTCCTGCGGAAGTCATTAGTCTAAATGCATGCGTAGAGTGCGCCACAAAGAACGTACCTGAGCGAGGGAAGCCATCCGGCGGTGCAGAAGGGCTGGCTGGGTCGACGTGAGGGCCATAGCTGATGAGTCCATAGTCGTTTTGCTCCTCGATCCATTCGTAGATGATGCTTCCAGACCAGACATCGGACATTTCTCCAAATAACGCCTCCTGATCCTTAAAATCGCGGGGCTTCACGGTGTTGCAACCCGTCTCCGACATGAAGATTGGGATGTGCAAATCCTCGGAGTTCTTCTCCAGCTGGTCGTAACCCGATTGTTGGTACGTACTCTGTCCACACCAAGAGTAAGCGTTCAGGCTGAAAAAGTCTAGGCGCTCAGACGCATTGCTACCACAGGCCAGATAATTCTGAAGCATAGGTCGGAGAGATGCGATGTCGGCAGCTGAGTACCCAATAGGGATACTGCGGTAGCCCTTCTCATCGCGATAAGCCTTCATGTCTCGGGCAGCGGCCTTGATGTAAGGGGCGGTAACAGAGCCATTGGCAGTGGTAATAGCCTCGTTTCCAATGAAAAAGCCAGCCACGTTGTCGTATTGATGGAACTCATCCATGACCTTGGCAAAGGCGTCGCGTTGATCGGTCTCCCAGCGAGGAGTGTTCTGCTCGACTTGGGTATCGAACGTGTCGAGGTCGACCCAAATGTAAACTATCAAAGACAAGTTAGCCTCATGCACCTTGGGGGACTTGTGTTCACAAAGCTGTTGCTTTGCGCCAGTTGACAATGAAAAGCTCATGTCCAAGTTGTAGCTAGAAGCGAACTGTACCCCAGAGGCATACACTGCCCCCAATACAACCCAATGGACACAGACTTGATCTCATATGTGCGGTGTACGTACTTCCAGCGTCAGCGAATGTCTTCATGCAATCGGTGTGATCCGCATCAGGATCCACATGGTAGACACGGATCGAGTTGGCGCCGATGGTCTTCATGAGGGCAGAGTCGAGACCACATTGTGTCGCGTCGATGAGGGGATCGTCGGGTACCAGTTGGTAGGCGATACCTGCCGGCTTTGGTCAGCAGCTGTTTTGGTTTCACGAGCTGGCGTTCGTACCCTTGACGAAGAATTGATTGCCCTCGCTGGTGAAGAACTTGGAGCCCTTGACCTCAATGGTAGGAATAGCCGACGCAACAGCACTCAAGCCAGCCAGGAGGCTCAGCGATAGGAATTGAACCATCTTGTAGCACTGCGACAGGTGATGTGTTTGGCTGCTGAATCCTCGGGTGTGGTTGCGGGAGATAATGTGTCGCGATAGCTTTGCGCAGATGTTGAGCAGATGCACTAGCTCGCCAGAAACACAGAGCAAACGGCGACGGAGCCGGTGAGTAACGAGCGAAGGACTGAGCCGTAGAGAAAGAAAGCGCAACGAGGGTGAATCGGTTGAGGGAAGGAAGACGAGAAATACCCGTCGTCACAAACAGACTTCCGAACTAAGCTATCAATCCTTCTAATCTCTATTACCTATCGGGCAAGCACCATCATGCCTGCTTGCCGCAAGTCCATCCAGCCTTCCCTAAGCGGCCCCAGTAGCAAGGCACGAACGGCAACGAGGTACATCATGACATTGGAAGAGGACAGGCGCAGTGGGCCCAAGCCGAGACGTGCGCCTGTGTCGCGTCGATCGTCTAAGCTTGTTATTGGTCGATACGCGTTAAGCCTGCTGGCGTGCAGCCTTGATACAGCTAAGCAGTGCACGGCAGGAAATCGCTTCTGCTTGATTGCCTTAGCGCGTCAAGGCTATGTGGAACCCCTCCACGGCTAGAGAAGCCGATACTGCAACACAACAACGGGTATTGGTTACGCCCGTTTCATCCTCAAGCCTTTGCATTTAATGTTGAAACAAAGAGATTCGATGATAGCCGCATGCAGACTTAACGGCGCCGACACCAGACCCAGGACGTGTAAAAGCTCATGGGAAGGATATTCCATGATCAGGACAACTGTCGCACATAAGAACTAGAGTACTAGCTCTACTCTCATCTCCAGTACTGTGTGCGGAGTATTCAGCCGAATTTGAAAGATTGCCCAAGTTCACAAGTGGAAGACTACCACTAACAAAACCATAGACAATAGGGTACACTGCCGCATATAGGCTGGTGCCACAGAGCCCGAAGTCGGTGGAGGAGACTGTTGAATCGGACATATTGAGGCATTATAGGTAGTCGACACAGTCTGAGGATTGCGAAAGACATTATCAGGATCGAGCGCCGCCTTGACCGTCTGCAAGCGAGGCACATTGCAGCCCCAGTAAGACCGCTGTGGATTCCCAAGCTCAGGGTCGACATAACCTGGATACGCACTCTGATCTGCGCCCGTCTCATTCTGCACCAGGAGGCTGAGGCCGGCCAAGAAGCTCTTGGAGACATCGCTGACGGGCTCAGTAATACTGACGACGTAGCTCTGCATAAAATAGAGCGCATCACGGTGCCAGTACGCGGTAGCCGTCTGAGAAACATCGGATATGGCACCGCCTTCGAGATCCCAGATGACGAGCCACACGGGTGATCCCTTCTCTGTCGCATTGATGTACGAGAACATCAATTGAATGGTTTCGTTCGACATCAGTGTCTTGTTCGTCGTCTTGACACTCTTGGCGTAGAAGTGCAGCGGGAAGCTGCCAGTGGCTGTAAGAGTGGGGTCGCCGAGGCCCATGAATGGCACGGTGACAACGGTGCCCTGGGCAGATACGGCTGAGCTGTTGGTAGGCATGATAGACTTGGTGTCTAGCGCATCGAACTCAGATCGCGGCCCATAGAAGATGCCATTGATGATCATCGAGCCTTGGCTGAGAGTGACAGTGCTGGAAAACTGGCGGCTGAGGTTGGGCTGCGAGACGAGCCTTTGCCAACCTTGGAATGTGTTTGTGAAAAAGGTCGTATCCCTGGCCGTAATTTTGTACGCATACTGGGTAATCTCGGATGGCGCTGGTGCAGTCTTCATGGTGAACTCTGTAACAATAGCGAACGAGAAACCAGCGCCTCGGATAGCGAAAAACAGGTCAGGGTTCGTGCTTGCGCTGGCTGTCACAATGGAACCGTTTGCGACCACGCACTGCGCTGATACGATCTGATCAGTTGCCAGTCCGAGCTGTCGACTGAGTGTTCCGAGACCGCCAATGGTCATGTGGCCACCTGAGCCGATGACGTCCACTTCACCGTATGCCATAACCCGCCCGAGGGGTTGCAGCTTCTGCGAGAGGTTTCCGAGAAGGTTCCCTATGCAAATTGTTCAAGTCAGCTGAGAAAATAACGCAGGGTCTTCTAGTCTGTTCGATGTTAGGAGGCGACGTACTGGACCAAAAGTAGCCGTCTGATCAGTCTCATTGTAACTGAAAGCACCCATGTTCTTCATGTTCACTACCAGGGACCCGTTGAAGCCTCCCAGTCCTCATTGTGACGCAGTTGTTAGCAACTGCACTATCACGGGTCTTCTTCGTGGACTCTGCCTTACCATAGTTCGCATAGCTATGGCCGCCACTGCGCGCCTGTACTGCAACTCCTGCTACATGTGCACACTTGACGGCCTGCGATACTTGCTGTCGCGTCTTTGGGGATATAATTGCAGCTGGAATATTGAGGTAATCCAAATTGTATGGTGTCACGTCTCCTTGTAAGAACAGTTGGTCTTCAGGTAGGGAGTAAAGGTTGGTGTCGTCACCGAAAACCGACTGCAAACATTGTAAAAACGTGTCGTTCGAAGCTTTAACAGCAACCGCGGCGGTAGGTATAGTTATCAGCCAGAGGTTCTTCATCGTCGATAAGAGATGGTTGAGCAGAGATCAGGCAAGGTCACTCAGCGGGCGGATGAAGCAGTTGCCCAGCTTTAGAGTATTCCATCAGAAGCTCATCTCAGTTCTTTTTGAATGGCATAGTCTGCTTGGATTCTCGCCCGGGCTGCAAGCCCTGGTGAACGAGATCCAGCTGGTCTTACATGCAGCTGTCTTACACTTCAGCCGGACGGACTTAGCAAGCCGCGACGCCCCGCCGCCCCCAATAATTTCTCGTGCGCCATGAAAACACAGTGTCAAGAGCCGTAAGGCTGGAGCGTGCCTGCACCTGGGGAAGGTTGGAGGCACGATATCATCAGACTCTCAATCTGCAGATACAGCCGGTTAGCGCAGGAGTGACGAATGGAAGATAAGGCGAGCAAGACCTGTTCAAGAAGTGCTCTTACATCAGAAACATGAGGACATCTCCGTAACTAAATACGCGTCGTTGCAGGTTAGTTACCCCGCATCTTACATGCAACTAGTAATTGAGGCGCGAGAACTAGCCTTTTCCAAAGAGCTAGTATTTGTTTTAACTTTTTAGCAAGACATAAGCACTCTATTGCTCTAGTAAATGCTAGCTGCACGCGGTCTGTATACATTGCGCAAACTAAAGGTACTATCATACGACTTATAGCGGCTTACTACATGCCCCTTGTCATTCCAATCCATTCTGACTTCCACTGTTCGGACAATGCCTCGCTGACTTCCACGACTGGCTGCATCGTCCTTATCTATCGCTTTGTCGAGAGTATGCATGTCTACTTCTGCGCCGACAAGGGCAAGGTCTGAGTTTGATTCATTTTGTCGTTCCAATCGGTCCCTCTCTCTAGCTGCAGAGGAGAAGGGATCGAGAGCTAAGGACCTTGAGTGAGGGGCCGATCTCGATATGAGACCGCGTTCCCAAACACGATTAAAGAATGGACGCATAGTGGGAACGCAAGCAGCTATGATAACAATGTTTTGCTCAACCCTGCCAAAGAATTAGTACATAGACTTCACAGTTTTGATGAGGGAATGTGACGTACAAGCCCCACAGGACGAGCGGTACAGGTTTCCATACTACGCATTGATCAGTGTTGTTCTGTCATCGTCCCTTGAGTAACTCACAAGGGTCTGTCGTGTCTGTAAAAAGTGGTAGATATGTTCCCTTCACTATAGTGACGACTGCGGACAGCATAGTCATGCTCATCATGGCAATCAGCCCTGCTTTTGTAGAACGAGGCATCTGAAGATTCCAGAATGCGCGTGATGGAACGATTGCTAGAACCATGTCTGTAAGTGTAGTGTAGGCACAAAGCCAGTAAGAGAAGTAGTTGACATAATCCGGACTCCAGCATGAGCCTGGCAGGGTTTTCTCCCACAGCTTGCTAGTTGGCTGGCATTGTGCAAACACCAGGGCGATAGTGATGATGGCGAAGATGACCTGCAAGATCGCCATTGTATGTAGGGCGATGGTCCGCTGTGGGTTCAGGGGAAGAATTTGACAAACAAGTATCGCGATAGATATGTTTGGGAAACTGAATGCAGCTATCGCATGCTTCTTAGGTAGAGGAACTGTAATGATATGTTGCAGGTCACCTACCGATATTGAAAGCTGCAAACATGTCAGCTCAGACACCGCTAGAAGAGGACCACCGTTGTGACGAACTTACGATAGCCAAGCATTTGAACCTTAGCACCCTGGAACAGTCGCTGGTTGCCATACTCCTCTGCCACTACTGCTGTGTGCTGGCCGAATCCCAACTGAACTCCGTAATGTACGAACGATGAGGCGATGACACTAAAAATCTGTTGGAATCATGAGAACCCGGACTTGTTCGATGGAAAGCTTGTGCAGCAACTCCGTACCAGTGACAGGAAGATGAAGAAGTCGTCCCATCCAACGACGTGGACTATCCTTGCTCAAGCAAAAAGCTTGATACCCACAGTCAAAACAGCGACTCCAGTCATGACCCATGCTACAACTAGAACCTCTGTCTGTCTGTTCTCGGTGAGATTCACAGACTCTGCCATCATTGTAGAGTCTTCTACGTGTTAGAAAGGGAAGCAAGACGACTGAAAACAAAAGCACTCAGACTTTGGTGAGTATCAGAATGTGATCGCGGTTGGATTTCACCATACAGACCGACGATCTGTAGGAACATACGACGAAGAGCTCGAGGCGAGCATATATATTGGGATGGCACTCTGGTCAAGGGATGAAAACCAACACGATGAGGCCAATCCTACATCGAGGTCAATCACTCCCAAGGCTACGGTACAAATTGCGAAACATGAACAAGGGTTACGAACCTGCTCATCCAGTGTCGTGTATCCTGCCTCCAATCGAAAAGCCGGCATTATTTCCTCAAGCCAAGAAGCGGCAGAGTTGTTAATTTCGTTCGTTGGAGAGCACAGGGATTCTCCATAGAGTTCTTATTGATGTTTAGTCTCATCCTTCGAAAATCCTGAATGCTGTGAGGATGTGGCACAGTTGCTTCGGACGAATTTCTCCGTTTGTGTCTGCACAAGTTTACCTAATACCGCATGCCACCTGCAGGGTCGCCTCACTCACGATAGCATTTTGTCATACTAAACAAAGCTATAACTCTGTCTTCTGTTGTACTCAGTTGTGTTGAATAATGGTGTCCAGAGAGGTTGCGATGTACTATGCATTCCTCTCGGGTGTTCATACATTAACGGAATCTTGACCGAGCCGTGTTCCTAGGGCCGTCGCTCCAGCCCGCACCCCACAAAAATACCATAGAGGTTACCTAACTATCCAGATCCGGTGGAACCTTACCGAACCAACGTCGCGATAAGGATGCGATGGCAACTGGCGCAGGCCTCCCTGGTTTGAACAAGTTGTCTGTAAGCTCGTCAAGTACCTAGGTAGGTATCTCTGACATGAAGTCGTGCCTACTCGGGCCGGCCAGCGCTGGACATAGAATGCCTTGTAGGTGTGTCTTTAATGTGCCAACGCAACGTTTTTGTACCCTCAGCTATGTCACTGAAGCGGTAATGAGGAAGCCGTACACGTAGTGCGAGTCATGAACAGCGTCGCATAGCGCGACAGGAAGACAGCAGCCGCACTGGGATGCGACTTCCACCAGGGGTTCTGTACGTACGGAATTATTATGTAAAGCGTCTTGACTCTTTTATTCTTGCACCAAGGTCAGAAGAAATCGACTTCATCACTCTACACCCAGGCAGTATGTCGACATCAGTTCCAATCATTCTCGAGCGCATCACGTCGGCCGGCAGGGCTTTCGAAAGCAATGAAGTTGGCTCACGGGAGAACTTAATCGACCTTGCCAGAGACCTCATAGCAAGTCTCGAAATTCCGAGTGAATTCCTACAAAGAAGTTTTTGGGCGGAGGTTAGTCGCCCAAACCCGAATGGAGGCGATTGCGCTAATCGTATCGAAGCCTGCATTATCTGCACATTGCAAGATTGCCGTTGAAGTCAAGCTCTTCCAACATCTCAAGGATGCAGGCGAGGCTGGCCTCAGCGCCGATGATCTTGCACGGAAGACGGGCGTTGAGTCGACTTTGCTACATCGAATCATGCGTCATCTGATTGCCATGAAGGTTGTTTCCTTCTCTAATGACTGTTTTTTCGGATCAAACCTCAGCGATGGGCTTGCAGCAGAGAACTATCAAAAAAGTATCGACTTCTGCTATGATGTTGCACGGCCGTCTTTCAATCGCTTTCCCGACTTTGTTAAGAAGGCGGACTACAAGTCACCGACCTCGCCTACGGATGGGCCTTTCCAGATGGCGCATGGAACGCAGCTGCCATTCTTTCCATGGCTGGAGGCTACACCACCCCATCTAGATGAGTTCGGTAACTTCATGTCAGCCTACCGGGCTGGTAAGGCGAACTGGTTCGATCCAGGTTTTTATCCAGTCACCGACCGACTGATCGAAGGCTTCAATCCTGCCAACAACGAGGTGCTGCTGGTAGATGTAGGTGGTGGCCGGGGACATGATGTCCAGCAATTCGTGGCGCAGTACAAGGCGCAGCCGGGAAAGGTTGTGCTCCAGGACCTAGAATCTGTCATCGCTAGTATCCAGGATAAGGACAAATTGCCATTCGACAGCACGGTTCACGATTTCTTCACTCCGCAACCAATCAAGGCCGCAAGGGCATATGCACTCCATTCTATACTACACGATTGGAGTGACGAGGAAGGGATCAAGATCCTCGAGAACTTGAAACCTGCACTCAAGCCTGGGTACTCGCGAGTATTGCTGAACGAGATCGTGTTATCGGAAGAGAAGCCCACTATTGCTGCCACATCGATGGACATGATGATGTTAGCACATTTGTCTGTACATGAGAGAACTGAATCAGATTGGAGAAGGATACTAGAAAAGTCCGGATTAGAATGTCTACATGTATATAGCTACCCAGGCGTTGCAGAGAGCGTTATAGAAGCACAACTAACAGAGTAGAGATTATATATAGAAATACACGATTACATCTATAATACTCTAAAACCTCCTAAGATACGCATGATATAAAGCTCAAATATAGAGATAGTTTTACTTTAATAAACTATTAACAATATACTATTAGAGTAGAATAGATTATATAAAAACAAGCTATATAGAATA